AAACATAACACACCTTGCACATATGCACCCTTAGGGTATACCTCACTTGGTTGCCTCGAAAAATAATGGTCATGTCCCTCGAACATAGGGATGTCTTAGCAAAGACCCTTAATTCTAAAGTCATCATAAAGATCATGGTCCATAACATCCCTCGAGTTGCCTACAAAAAATGATCTTGTCCCTCGATGTTGCCTATATGATGACAGTCTCTTCGAATGCTAAGATATTTTTACATGTTGTCTTCGATGACCATAGCGTCCCTTTCGATAGTCCATCAACATCCAACGATAGAGCTACCTACTCACTAATAATAAAATAGTGTTGTCTAAAGGAAACGAGAAAATGAACAATCTTTTTCGAGTAGGTAGAAACTCTTAAGTACTTGCTCAAAACAATAAAAACTCTTTTTCACAAATACTTTCAAAACAGTTTTCAAAAACAACTTCGTCACACTCTTGAGGACAAATACAAGGGTTATCAAGAAGTTAAACAAAAAATTTTCAAAACACATACAAGCAATTTCAAAATGATAAAGTACCTAAGAGCCCGTGGAAAACCACAAATAGAAAGGGCGCTAACACTTTCCTTTTCTATAATCTACCCCTCGTATTCAGAAACATCTCGAAAAAAAATTTTTCTGTTCTTTTTCCTTTTACTTTGTTGGATGAAATAAAAGTCGATGACGACTCTTACTTACCACACATTTGCGAATACAAAATACAAAACCAGTATAACAGTCGGTTCTGCCACCGTATCACATATGCATATATACTGAGTTTATATTAATAATATGCAAATTTAGTTTATAAATAATGAATAAGTGCAACCGGTTGAAACACAACAATATTGATGAAGTTGTTTTTCAATATAAAGAGAAAGATGTAGGAGGCTAATAACAATTGGGAATGAAAATAGTTCTTAACTGTTGTTGAGATTGGTAACTAAAGAATTTACTGTTATCATGTGGACTTAGCAAAATGCCAGTTTATAGAATTCACTAATTAGAGGTGGATAATATTATGATCAAATGCGCTATGATTACAAATGCTTTATTTAAGCCACTGTAACTAAATATATACTTTTGATATTGTGTAAAAATTATAAATTGTAAGCTGAATCTACTTTATGCAATAGAAATCAGTGTTGAAAGAGAAATAAGCAATTCATTAATAATAATGCAAACGTACATTGCATGGAGATTGTTAAAACTGACAGGAAACAAAGGAATAATGATAAAGTTGTTGTTCAAAACATAACAATTTGCATAAAACATATTAACTACTGGAAATACAAATTTTATCAGCATGTGAATCTCATGTGAATCCTCAATCTTTTGGTTCGACCTTCACTTTCTTTGATGGCTTTGTTCCTGAAAATTATGTAGTTCTATAAACTTTACAGTCAGAATCTTCAAGATCGTTAGAAACTGAGTCATCCTTAGTCGGTGTATCGATCAATATTTTGTCAGGATCACTTTCTCCAAATGCAGATAATGACTCCTTGAACAATATTAAAAAACATCCAGTAAATACATAGAAAGTAAAGAAATATATTTTGATTTGACAATAAGTATTAAACCAACCATGGAAGCCTCGATAGTATCTTTGACTGAAATATGGGTCAAAGGTATACTATTAGCATGCATATTAAAAAATTACATTAACAAATAGTATGATAATTTACAACAATATATTCATATTATTGTAAACTTGATGTGTATTTTTATGAATCTGTTCAAACCTCATCAGTAATATAATCTTTTTCAATTTGGTTGATAAATTCTTCATCTTTTGACAGTTTCTAAACAGATGTTTACCTAAATGTCGGTTGAATTTTCACTCTTAAAGTCATTCTTTTACTCAAAAGCATATCAAGCTCATAAGGATATATCATAGGAGCATCTTCACCTTGCTAAAAAATTTCTTCTTATGTAAGTAATAATGCAAAACTGTTAAATTTTAAAAATAGTCAAATAAACAATAGTATACCTCCTGCATTGATTTATATAGATCATCAGCAGACTTTCCAATAATATCAGCACAATCAGTATCCAAGAATACAAATCAAAACTTTGATTCACCATCAACAACGTATATGTCGACTTTGTACATTTTTATATAAAATTTATATAATGGAGATGACTCAATATAACTATAAAATAATAAGAAACGAATACAGAATTGTACATAAAATACATTTAAATCATATAACCTTGGTATATCTTGTGTAACATTTTCTTTACATAAACATTGATACGATTTTTTCAAATCAGGTGCCTTTAAAGAGTATTTGATACATCCATAATAGAACCAACCATGCTTTGAAACAGAAAACTTCTGAGTAGTTGCTACAGTGACACATAACATATCCTAAAAAACAATCAGCTAAAAATTATTAGAAATGTCATTAAAGTATACCTAATTATAATTGTTATTCAATAATATCTGTTGGGATATACTTGTTTGACCTTGCAAAGTTCACTTAAAGAGATGCACTTGGCCTTATGAACAAATCTTTCAACTGTGTTGTACTGGGATGCACCGAATCAAAGAGAAATTAATTTTGAGGATTGAGTAGGCTTTTCAGTCTGCTCATTTACAGGAAACCTGTAACATTATAACTCAAGTCATGTAAACAATTGTCAATAAAAAATAAGTCTAACTGAACAATAATAATGGTTAATAGTATTACTTAGAAAAAACTCAGTGATCTCTAGAATGTCTTCATTAATTAGTAACTTAGAACCACTCCATCCATTTGAAACTGAAATTTCAACAAAATAAAAAAGTTAGAAATTGAAACATAACTGACATAAACACACAAAAATAAAACATTATAAACCTTGTGAATCCTTGATCATTGCATGAGTCAGAACAATTACAATAGCACCATTGTGACTTGCCTCATTGTAGTTGTCCAAAAATCTAGAACTATAACTTTCCCATAACACGCAGTTGACTACTTTACCACTATTATACATATTAAGAACATATTCATATGAAAAATTGGAACTTAAATAACAGTACTATCCTGAAAAGGGTAGGAATGAAATATATTACGCCAAGTCTTTCAAATTCAGTTAAACAAATGTCTTTTTTTCTGGGATGTTATTCTGAAAATTGTTGATCTCCTGTACATCACCAATGATATCTATAAAAAGAATGGAAAAATTCAGTATAAATAACTATCTAAAATAATCATTGTTAATAAAGTCCCCATAACAAAATCAAAACATATGCATATTAGCATGCCTTTAAGTATGTTAAGCTGACATTTTCCTTTAAAGATATCTGAAAAGTCTTTGAAATAATAGTTTTTAGGAGGAAGGTTCGGGATATCAATAGCTTTTAAAAGTCGTACCACCAAGAAACACGAACTTCTTCGAATGATCACAAAACTTTCACTGAAAATCATTATCAAACGCAGTGCTATTGTTGATCATGCAAGTCATATTTTCTTGAATTCGTTCCTTCCATTTTGGTGGATGGTCAACACGAATTAATATTTGAATCCTATCATCTTGATGACATAAGAAACCTAATCAATAATATTGTAACATTATTTTTCACAATACTATATATGATTTGAAAATTTTGCAAAATGTTACAGCTGCATCCATGATAACCATTTCCAAATGCTCTACGCCTTTACTGTTAATAACGCTCCATAAATCAAAGACTCGAAAAGCCAATCTCCATGTTTTCTTTGTGTCGTTAATATCCTTGACACAGTCAAATCTCCTATTCATCTTCTGCTTCTGCAAAGATAAAATAGAGTGGATTAATTTCAGGAAAAAGTCAGTACATGTGTGTTATATGTAAGCTAAAATAGCGACTAATCTTAATATGATGGTTTAGAGTTTCAATCAAACAATATGAAAATTAAAACACAAAAGCAAAATTGTTGAAGAATACTGTTTAGGGCGGAAATTGATTTCTGACTCTGTAACGAAATCACAGAGAAGATGAATGGATGGAAGAAATTGAGATGAAGGACCATCGCATATAAAGAGGGAAGAAACACCAGAGAAAGTTCAACACAAAAAATACTTGTGCAATGGATGAGGATTCCCAATGTTGGATATCGAAGAAATGAATTGGAAATTACAATCATTATACGTGGAGAAGATAAATAGTTGAACATATAACTAAGTTGCAGAAAAAAATAAAAATTATATTAAATAAAATATTAAGAACTATAATAACTTATATGTCTTTGAAATTCTTTGATAAAATTGATTTTAATTGATTAATAAAGTAATTATAATGATAATTACTTTTATTATATTAAAAGTAGATTTATTTGTGTTCTTGTGTTCAATGGTTGTGTATGTTAAATAAATTTTTGAAGGTCAATAGACAAAGGTAATAAAGACTGTTACATAAAAAAGAGTAAAGACAAAAGTGCGTAAGTGCAATAGCAATAGGATGTAAATTTTGAAGTTCAATATCCATCCTTGTAAAAGTCGATAAAGGATCTCAGGGACAAACTATAGCAAACAAAATCTAACTTTAATAAATTTAGCAGTCATCTCCTTCAATAATGAAGTCATACGAAAAACTGTTAAGTAGATTTTGAGGAATGCTGTAAAAAAGGCTTGAACCAGAAAAATATAATGATTTCACAAAGAATTTCTAAAGCACGTGTACCACACTAAGGTTTAAGTCTGACTCGCCTCAACTAATCTGCAACTATTGGATGCAAATGGAAATAACAATGAATGCCATTCGGGTTTCTTTAGAAACTTTGAAGTGAATTACACATTCGCATTAAACCTATCTGTCAATAGTATTTTACAGAAAAATGTTTCCTTCACCAACTCTTACTCTTGTGCACTAGAGAAGACAAAACTGGTTTATGTTGTAGCGCATCTAAAACATTAATTATAGCAAAAGCTCCACCAGACTATTTTCATCCGTGACTCCATTTTACGTGCAATGAGCGAAATCAGATGAGGGACGAAATCATGGTACGAAAAACTCTTTGGCCCGATAAAACTGTTAAGGCTTTTTCATCACAGCATATCCAGTGTCTTCAACTTCCTGCAGCAAAACAAACTTAGTTACTAACAATGTAAAAGTCTGTAAGAAAATAACCAATCACGTTAACAAGTAGTGACCTTTCTTTTTTTATTTTTCTTCTTTTGTTTCTTCTTCTTTCTCTTCTTCTTGCATTCCTTTAGATCAAGGAGATCATTTCGTTCCTCTTCACTAGCATCTAAGTCGCCAAAGGATTCCACGTGCCGAACATTTCTTCCGGAACTTGAAGTACCGCCTAAAATTGAAGAGAATCACAAAATAAATACACTTGATGACTATCCTAAAAATTCAATTGAAGAGAGACAGAAAATCCATATATGACAGAAAAGCTTATGTCTAACATTGTTACAAGTGAAAAGAGAGGATGTGTGAAAGTTATGGCCTTAACGAGGCTCTAATAGATGGTGTGTGTCGCCATGAATTTCCTTGACATCGAATTTCCGGCAATTGCACAATAAGTCACAATTTTTCTATAATATGGTCAACGGATCAGACCTTGGACAGTTCCAAACATTCTATACATCAAAGATTAGAAAGAAGGGAATAAACTTAAAAGTGAAACCGGAGATACGAGAGAATCAGGTATACATGTAAACTGATACTAACAAAATAAAACAAAAGGCAGTCTTAGAAATCCAAGAAAGGATAAAACAGATACTAATCTGATAATGAATACATGTATATATGTGCGACGGCGCAAGCGCGTACTACCCAAGACACGAAATTGTATACATCTATTAAGATTTCCTCATTTAATACTACCAACAACCAAGAACCAAGCAAGCAAACTCAACAATGAAAAACATATTTCATATAAAAAACTATAAGAGATAAAAAAAATACAGTCAAAGAAAGAGAAAGTAAATAGTTACTTGTATAAACAGTTTGTTTAGCATTATTAACAGCAAGTTCAAGAAGATCAGGGTTAATAGATGTCAATCCCTTAGGACCCTTCAACTTCCTCTCCAAAAACTTAGCCAAAGCCGCTGCTTTATTCGTGGCAACAGGTCCACCGGGATGAGCCAATCTGGCACATGAATCAAGAATTCAAATCATACCCACTAAAATTGAAGGGGTTATAAAGAAAACTATGAATTCAAAATGAAAATTGTAAACCTATAAGTTGGGTTAGTTATGAATTGTAGAAATGAAGGGAGAAGAAGAACCTGGGTTTGGGCTTGTTGGAGTGAGGAAGGGTGGGAAGAGGAGCGAATTTGCTTCCGCGAAGTGCGCGTCTTTCTTCTTCTGTGAGAGTTTCGATTTCTTTCGTCATTTTCGAATTTTGGGATTTTTTTTCTTTGTGCGCTGGTTTTGTTCTTTTCAACAATAAAGAATTGCAACTAGTCTTTTTATCTTTCAAATTTAGTTTGATTTATAGCACCAAAGAAATAGTTTAGTTGGAAGGCATAAATTATTCTTTTTGACTACTCTCCCACTATAAATATTATGCATTTGACTATCCTACGTAAGTTGATTTTTTTTTAAAAGAATGATAATTTTATTTTTGAAAATATTAAATTGAGATTTTTATTGTATTAATTTTTTCGATACAAATTTAATATATCGATAGAGATTAATTTTTCGAACTGATGGAGACTATAATGTATAGGAAAATTAAAAATGTCAATTTACTTATGTTAACATGAATCTTCATAAAAATTATTTATTCGAAACTACGAAATCGAAAAGTTTTTCTCAATAGAGATAAAGAGAAAAGTTCTCCGATGATATTTTGAAAGGGATCGAGCAAGTACCCTATGTCTTTAGGATGCGACCATATTATTTTATATATATATATATATATATATATATATATATATATATATATAATCGTATCTGATCAGAATCGATCGTCAAAGTCTACGAGCTATGAGTTGAGCAACAGTTGAAGATGAGATGGGGGTACCTGCAATACACTCTGATCCTAAAGTAAGTTTCAGGGAGAGTGCTAGTAAGTGTGGGAGTATGTGAGTATGAAAGAATGAATATCTTGAGAGGGTATTTATAGCCCCCAGCGTTGAGTCACGATGAGGCCCAACAATGAAAACTGTCAGGGCTTACGTGTGTATGGAGTCCAGCACATGGACTCCCCCTGGTCAACTGCTTCGAGAGAATATGTGTTAGACCCGTGATTCCCGAAGGGCGGTTATGATGGTGATGATACGAACACGTGGGTCACGTTCCCCAACGGACACGTGAGGAGTTGCCCAACGATCCCTAACTTGGGCTGCTTGTCTTTGGGCCTTATGCAAGAGTGTTGAGTTGGGTCTCCCCATCAGCAGAGAAAGTGTGGGCCCAGTCCAGATCAGAAGCCCCCCAAGTTATTGCGCTTAGGTGAAAGGGTGATGACATAAGTTCAGCTTTATGGCCGGGGAGAATTTGCTCAAGAAAGGAGATCGTAGTCATCTAACGGAAATGAGTTGTTATTCGTGTCGGGGACAACCTGTTTGACCGTGTCGGGGATCTCGTGGACACACGAGCTGTGAGACCAACTGAGTCAGTTTTCGTCCGGTGCTCGACGGGAGTATATAGGTTATGGGGAGTTTCTACAGACTCTTTTTCGACGTGCCCGTCTTCAAGGGGTTGTTACGATGTCAAGCGTTATTTCATCCTCGAGGTGGAACATAATGAATATGCTCGTATGCATGTTTTATCCATGGTTCACCGTGTGAGGCGTCTGCATCGTGCTCGAGCACGACATTTCGTGTTGAAGTCGGGGACGTGTTCATCTCTTGAGAATGGATATGTGGCTGATTGTTGGCCCACGTGGTTGTTGCTTTGGGGTGCCATCTTTTCATGGGGAGTCCAAAAAGGACAAACTAATGATGACTTTTCGTGATAAACCTCGTGGGGTGTGAGCCACCTATAAAAAGGGGACCCCAGGGTTTCATTTATCATTTCTCAAGTTTTCTTCTGCAACCTTCCTCGCCTGCGCATGAATCATCTCCTCTCAACTTCTTCTTAGAGTTCTTCAAGGCATTCTTATCCAAGTAAGTCATATCCTCATAACAACATGTTTTCTTTAGGATTTTCATATTAAACGCTTAGTTTTCGTCTTGATTGGAAGAATCTTAGATGAACATTCATGGGTTCTGCGATGAACATCCATGAATGTTCGTTAAAGTTCATGATAGATTGATGAACTTCATGACGTCGGGGTCGATTTCCCCGAATAGTAGGGGTTGATTCGGGCACCTTGCCCGTTTGACTGGATGTCCCCCAATAGAAGTGTGGTTCGTTTTAGCGCGCAGTCGATGGCTTGGGCCAAAGTCCCTTCCTCGACGGCTTCATCGCCCTTTCACTTGATTTGTGGTGGAAGGGTGAATTTGATGATGTCGAATTCACTATTTTCCCATGCTTTTCAGGTATAATGGCACATTCAATCGGGGAGGATGTCTTGCCCGCCAACCACGAAGATGAAATCAATGTCGAGGAGGCCCCTTTGGCCTAGGTCACACCTGAGCCTAGAAATAAGAGGTCGTGTTTTTCGCACGACGCAACAAACGCGTTCAACTGTCCAGAAGTTCGAGCAAAGGGGGCCCCGCCAACTGGATTCTCCAAATTCCTCATCGTAACAGGAGGATCTTCTCAAAATATCCGGGTAAATTTTTCCCATGTACGATTTTGCGTTTAAAGAGGCAGGGATGTGTTTGCCCTTCAATGACTTTCAAGTGGGGGTTTTCTAGTGGCTTCAATTGGCACCCTCCCAACTTCACCAAAATGAGCTGGCTTTCATACGGGCGTTCGAGCTCGTCTGTCAATATCTTCAAATAGGCGCTTTTTGTACCCCAATTTTTGCCCCTAATATTCCTTTATCATCTCATACTATCACAATGCAACCAGATCACAAACTAGGGTTTAGGGTTTTTCCTCTACTACATCTTGTCTTTAGGTTTGCCTATGGGAATCACCAAGCACCATGAAGCACCTTGAATTGTATATCTTGTACTTGTATGATTTTAATTACCCTCAAAATGTGTATATTTTTCTTGTGGAATATCATATTGTAGGTAATGGCACAATTGCCTTCATCTCACCATCTCCTAGCACAGAAGATCAAAACTAGGGTTTAGATTTTAATCAGGAAGTCTTTGGGATTTTTTAGCAATACTAGATCCCATACTTCTCTACATGGTCATGAGCATCTATAATTGGAAGTTTGATCATCAACTTTGACTTGAAAAGGTTCAATTGATGAAAGGGGGTAAAATGATTATTTTGTCAGGAGATAGCTGAAATCAACTGTTGACCAAGTGAACTTTTGGTCAACTATTAATTCAATATCCCTATTCTCATATTTCATGGTCAATAGTGGAAAAAATATCAAGAGGAAGTGTGAATTGGAGATAACTTATCAAGGAAGTCATTTGAAGTTTTGGAATTTTTCTAAGTATCCATAGGGCATAATTTTGATTGGTCATAACTTTCTCAATTTTTATTGAAAATGTGAAAACTTTATATGCATAGAAAGAGGATTAAAAGTTCTCCAACTTTGTAGGAGAGGCCACAAGTCCAAAAAATGAAAGGAAAAAAAGTTATGAAGCTTGGAAGTTTTTGACACTTAGTGAAATTTTGGATAAAAATGCAAAAATCTTACTTCTTCATGCCTAATTTTGAATGACCATTTGGACTCAAATCAAAAAGTTGGCAACATGAAAGTTGAATATTTAAGTTTTATCTTCATTTTTCATTCAAGAATCATCTCAAATGGTTAAGTGTAGAGAAATATATGGTGATTAGGATTTTGGATTTCAAAATGAATTTTTGCCCAGCACAAGGCAAGTCACGCGCGTTAGGCAGGAATTTCATCAAACATGTTGTGGGCACGCATTCATCATCACTTTTCTATGTGAAATATTCATTATTTTGAAAAAGTCCAACATCAAAGATCAAGCCTTAAATGTGAGGAACAACCTTGCTTCAGAAAGTTTCTCCAAATTCTTCCTACATTTTGAGATATAATTGAAAGAAGAAGGCACCATGCAAGCTGAACTTTTGCCCAGCACAAGGCCTCACGCGCCCGCAGAATGCCCAGTCAGGCTTGGCATTTCATCAAGCAGTTTGTGAGCACGTGTTCATGGCAAAATATCTCATTGATTCAAGCTTCATTTTGAAAAATGTTGAACATCAAAGTTGGAGTATGAAGTATCCTCTCCATTTTTTATTCAAACTTTGTCATGTTTCATGCATTGTAGAGGAAGATATAAGGAAGCAAAGACATGTTCATGAAATGGTGAAAATGTGCATGGGAATGCATGGAAAATTTTGTGCAACCAAGTTCCACTTTCCAACTCATGCCCCAACCTTAGTTCACTTACTAAAAACACATAGTTTGCACCCTCATTTGCACATGAAACACAACATACCTCTAATATCTCTCATTTTCTCTCACTTCCCATTTCTCTTACTCTCTCTTTCCGCACTCTATAAAAGGGAAGTGATTCAACAAGCAAAGGGGTTGGAAGAAGAAAGTCAGGAAGCAAGCTATTATCTCTCTATCACATGAAGCTCTCTTCTCTCTCTTTAAGTTTCAAGCTTCACTTCCACCATTGTCAAGCAAAATTTCCTCCATATCCAAGCAAGCTTCTTCGCATCTCTCTCTAGTTATCATCTCTGAACATTCAAGCTTCTCTCCATTAAGTGCTCTTTATTTGAGCTCAAGCTTCATCAAGATCATTTCAAGGTATATGATCCACCATTTCCCACTCTTGGCTGCACCTTGAGTTTTCTTTAATTCACGAACCTTTTGAAAAAAATCAATAGCATATTCATAATCCTTGCATTTTTGTTATCAATTTTCATTCTTGGACCGTGTGATTTGATGGAGAATTGAAGGAGAAAACTAAATCACAGATTTGTTTGATGAAATGTGTAACTCAAAACCGTGTTCATGTATCCATATCCGCGTGCATTTTTCTCACTCATCAAAGCATCATTTCATGAAGTTTTTGATCCTATCATGTTCTACTAATTTCCATCTTGAACTTTGGTGTTGGAATTTTTGATTTTCATCAAGAGATGTGTGAGATATCGTGACATGAAATTAGTGTTTCGAAACTGAAAAAACTGGATATTATGGCTGTTGGTAGGGGTGACTGCGTGGCAGTCCCTAATTGAACATGTTCTTGATGCATTTTACAACGTTCTTTTCTGATAACAGGTGTAATAAGCCTTTGCATATTATTATTTTTTTTCCTCATATTTTCTTTTAATATTTTCTTCACTTCAAAAATTATCATAACAATATTCTAGACTAATTTTTCAATATATTTT